CCCCAAAACCCCAAAACCCCAAAACCCCAAGACTTATAATAATTTGAATTTTGTTAAAGCATTTAATCAATTATTTTTATAGTATAAATATCAAACTACTTTTTATCATCAGCTCCACGAGTTTTTCTGCTAAATTTGTACTTTATTCATTCTTTTTAATTAGCACTACAATTAATTTTCTTTCCTTTAACTTAATTCCATTTCAATTCATCAACAAAGCTAAATGCCAAAGCAAATATTAGAATAGAGGTGAATATTTTGTGGTAATAGCAATTATTACAGCTTTCCCTTCGAAGTATGTCAGATCGATAGTTATTTTCATCAAATGCTAAGGAAAAATACTAATCCATTGTCAAATTTGATTAGGCCATTTCAGTAACTTTAATTGACTTAAATTGATTGACAAATGATTTCATTAATTCATATTTAATGTTCTAGTGTTCAGTGTCGAATAAGTAGTATGATGTTTTGATGTTTTTCCTATCAATGAAGAAAACATACAAATTACATTTGATCTTTTTGTGGTGGTCTCCTTTATCAAAAAATATATCGACATCTTCAAAGAGAAACTAATCGTATGTGTAGAAATTAAAATCATTTCGAAATTCCTCTGCTACCCTATCAAAGTCTTTTAAAACTTATCCAATGTAAGGTAATTTTGAATCGCATCGTAAGTAAAAATTCAATTTAGTCCTTTCTAATAGATTAGCTTAATGACTATTTTGGATGTAAACAAACGAGTTGAACTTAAAATTTTAAATTGAGTCTAGAATTTTCTTCTCATCTATTTGCCCTAATCGTAGTTACTGTAAATTTATCTACCCCAGTTCTTTTTTAAATACGTAAAGATTGAATTAGTTGTTTCCACTATCCTTTTTATTTTAATTATTGTCTTCGTGAAGATAAATACCGAAATTGAGATGGGGATACTTTTCGATCATTTATTTAGCACTCTTTACAAAATCTGCTTTTTGTTTTTCATTTCTCCCAGTGTATACAATCATTGATTCTTTATTGTGTAGATACTCATTGTTATAAGCTTCTATTTCTTCGTACTTCTTGAAATTTGAAGGGATTAGCTGAGTTTTCTTTCTTAGCCACTACAAAAGATAAGTTTTGTTCAATGGTCCTTCATAAGTAAAGTAGTCTTTGTGCTACATCACGACTATCTGATATGGAGACTTCTAAATATTAAATCTCATTCTTATCCAATTGAATTTTAAAGTATCAATCATGAGAATAGATGAATGCTTCATTTTTCCTTCATCCTTAGGAGTCATTTGCATCTAAGAAGCTATCCAGTTCAACTCAGGAATCTTAAGTTCTGTATTAGTGAAGCTTCCAGTTATAAAGATTCCAAATGTAAATGCCTCAGCATATATTATACAACTGGAATCGTCATAATAGTTTACTTTTTTGTTCAAACTGGTCACGCATTGCTATATACTATATTAAACTAACTAATAGATAATAAGTAAGTATAATAGTATGTATCTAAAAGATTTTATAACCATTTTATATTTAGTAAAAACTACTTTATTTTATGCTTATTTGATTCAATTTATTCTATGATAATTAACTTATGGGGTTTTGGGGTTTTGGGGAGATCGG